AGACAGTATGACCATGGCTCTAGCATCAGCTTTCTGCCTCTTCCATAACATACTGTATTATGTTTCAATTAAATCAATGGGGCTGGATTATATCCAGAAAAGCAAACCAAAGAAGATTCTGCAATATCAGACTGCAAAGAAAAGGCAGCAGACTATGGCTGATGACTTTTGATTTCCTTGCCCAATGTGCAAATACAGTACCCTAAATTCATTTCCACTTGTAGCCTTTTTTGTTAGTGTAAGTGGCTCAATTCTCAGAAGAGAATTAAGGCAACATCAATCCATTAGGGTAGGCTGACCTTAAATTTATCAAACCCCAGATTTGTGGTACAAATTTCCAGCCTCCAGGCATTTAAAAATGCCGACTTGTTTTTGTTATTTTGCAAATATGACTTTTTGGTAAATAGCATTACAACAGTTCCCCCTTACCCATGGTGGATATGTTCCAAGACCCCCACGGGTGCCTGAAAGTGCAGTTAGTACCAAACCCTATACAAACTATGTTTTTCCCCATACATACATACCTATGATAAAGTTTCATTTACAAATGAGGCACAGTAAGAGATTAATAACAATAACTGATAATGAAAAAGAACACTTATAATAATACTCAGAACAGCATGTAATTTAAATTTTATGAATTGTTTATTTCTGGGATTTTTCATTTAATATGTTTTGACCACATTGACTGCAGGTAAATGAAACCTTGAAAAGCAAAATAGTGTAAAGCCATTAGAAACAGTAGACATCTTGTGAGATATTGTCACAGTCCTTAAAACCACTTCTCTTGACAACTGCTTCCACTGTTCACCCCACTCACCCCTACTGCCCTTCCTGTGTCCTTGGTAACATGGTACTCTCCTTGCCTCTCTGGCTGGAGTTTATTGAACCAAAGATTAATGTCTGGTCCAAGCGAGCTGATTACATTCTTCCTTAAGAAATTGGATTCTAGAATTGTCCATTTCTAGTGGCTGCTTCAACTGAGGGCCTTTAAAATCTGTGTCAAGGACACAGAGAAGCTGAGAAAGCCAGAATGCAGAATGCCCAATGAACAAATAAGCAGAAAGAACAGGCCAAGCATTAAAGAGGGAATGGGAGGGGAGGAGAGAAATGAAGAAACAGGGGAGGGGAGAGGGAGGAAGATGGAGAAAAGAAGAGGAAGAAGAAAAGGGACAGAGAGGGAGAGAGGGAAGGACGGAGGGACGGAGGGAGGGAGGGAGACAGACAGAGAGTGAGAGATGAGATGAGATGAGTAGGGTAAGGAGAGAAGCTGATATTCTTCCCTGATTACTTTTTCCATTTCCTAGTTCTAATCCTACCAGAAGCCTAGATATATTCCTGCAATTAGATGTCCTAAAGAATGCCTTTATCCTTATAATAAATGGCTTATTTTATCTAATTTGTGAGTTTGCTAACACTATTACAACTAAATAATTAAAATCAAGGATTTGACGATAATTTCAATGTAAATGTACCCTGCTCTTTTATAAATAAACTGTTGGCCACCAATTGGCTATCATTTCAAAGCAGTAACAACTCAATATCAATTCAAAGAAGTAACATTAGTAATGCAAGATAGCATGGACTCTGGAAGCCTTGGGAAAAAATTGTTAAGGGTGAAATGTAGCAGAAAAAAATTGCCAGAAGGCCCAAAATTTAGCTCTTTGTTAAATACATATGTGAATCTAAAACTAAAAAATCAAATTTCAGTTGTAGAAAAAAACGCAAGCAAAATACTAAATTGTAATAGATATTAGTAGGCGAAAAATGATTGGGCATATGAACTCTTAAAATTTTTGCTATTAAGATATATACAACACAGGCTGGGCTCAGTGGTTCATGCCTGTAATCCCAGCACTTTAGGAGGCTGAGGAGGGTGGATCATGACATCAGGAGATGGAGACCATCCTGGCTAACATGGTGAAACCCCGTCTCTACTAAAAATACAAAAACAAAATTAGCCAGGCTTAGTGGTGGGCGCCTGTGGTCCCAGCTACTTGGGAGGCTGAAGCAGGAGAATGGCGTGAACCCGGGAGGCTGAGCTTTCGGTGAGCCCAGATCATGCCACTGAACTCCAGCCTGGGGGACAGAGTAAGATTCCGTCTCAGAGAAAATAAAAAAAAAAAGGTATATACAACACACAGATATATTTACCTATTTACATAATGGGACACATAAAGAATAAAAAGAAACATATATACTGGGTATACACATTTCCTGAAACTCAGATATTTATCATTTGAAAACAAAAGATTGTTATTCAGATATTATCAACATTTGCATCACAATTCTAAACACATAGGTTTAACAAATTCCTATACAGCAAGTAGGAAAATCATGCTAGAATTCTTAAAGAATAAGCCCTACTCCTCTCAATTCCTGTTATAGTTACTGCTGTCATGTCTACTGTAAATCATAAAATGCTAATGAATGCAGATAACTGAATTAATGACAATACACAGTAGCCCTGAAGACTTAGTATAAGTATACACTGAATGGAACCCATTATTCTATAAGGTATTCCGTAACCTAATACAATTTTCTCTATCAGAATGTACAGTGTGAGGACTATAGTTAATAATACTGTATTGTATACTAGAAAATTACTAAGAGAATAGATTTTAGGTGTTCTTACTTTGCAAAAAAAACAGGTAACTTTGAGATAATAGATGTGTTAATTTGCTTGAGTGTAGTAATCATTTCGTTACGTATATGTATATCAAAACATCATGTTATACACATTAAATATATATAATAAAAAAAGAAACTGTCTCTAGAAGTTAACAGAAAACAAAAACAGAAATCAGTAATGTATTCTGTAATTACATTATCATAAAAATGCTATGCCATGTTAAAGGAAAGACTTTAAAATTTTTTTTAGATCTACTTTACAGCATGGTGAATATAATTAACAATAGAGTACTGTACATTTCAAAATTGCTAAGAGAGCAAATTTCAAATGTTCTTACCACAAAAAATGTTAAGTATTTGAGGTGATGGAAATGTTAACTAGCTTTATTTAATTATTCCACATTATATTAATGAATCATAACACTACTTTAGACCCTATAAATTTATATAATTATAAACAGTCAACTTGTAATGAAAAATAAATTAATTAAAATATGAGGAGCTAATAATTGTCACAACATGAAACTGATATTTAGGAAATGTGTTTCTCCAATATAAATCATTTTTTTTTTTTGTATCTTAAAGTATCCTATAGGTAACAAAGATCTCATATTCTTTTTCACAGAAAATCTACTTGCCATGGTAAAGATAACCTAAATGCTCCAACATTAAGCCAGTAAACATTTTACGACAGTATTTGAGAAGTTAAAGCTTGAAAACAGACAGGAATTGCGCATATTAGTGGTGGGGAAAAAAACAACAGAAAAATCAATAGCAAATCCATCATTAGTTCACGCATTAATAAATGTTCTCCAGTTAACAGCAGTAACAAGACAATGTTTCTGACTTCTGGAATAATTATTTTACTGAAGGGCTTATTCTAGAACAGACAATCACTATTGACTATCAGTATGCTACAATTATGCAATTCTAATGTGAAAATATCAGCTTAAAAAATAAATAAATCAGAAGGAAATACTCAGTATGTTACAAAAATAGTCCCATGAAGTCAGAGAATTTTTGTGTTTTCCTTTTATATATACCTGGTTTCTAGAAAAGTGTCTGGCATATAGTGTTGATGAATGACTGAATTAATGGGATTTTTTTTTTCCTATAAAGGCCTGGAGTTTCAGTACAGCTTCACTATCCTTTCCCATTCTTAAAGACTGTTAAGGTTTGAATTTTGTCCTCTCAAAATCATGTTGAAATTTAATTGCCATTGTAATGGTATTAAGAAGTGGGACTTTTAAGAGGTGATTAGGCCATGAGGGTTTCACCCTCTTGGGTGGGATTAGTGCTGTTATAAAAGGGTGAGTTTGCCCCCCTCATCTCTCTTGCCTTTCTGCCTTCCACCATGAGATGACACAGCAAGAAGGACCTCATAAGGTGCCAGTGCCTTGATCTTGGACTTTCCAGCCTCCAGAACTGTGGGAAATAAACTTCTGTTCTTTACAAATTACCCAGTCTCAAGTATTCTGGTATAGCAGCACAAAATGGGCTCGAAGACAAAGACCCATGGAAGCACTTTATGGCCATGTATACTTCTGTGGCGCCTGGCTAACCAGGAAAGCTAACTGAGCATCAAAGATAGGGTTTCACCTCCTTCTGCCACTGATCAGTTATGAGACTTATGGCAAATCTTGTGACCATTCTAGCTATCAACTTTCTCATCTGCAAACCTTGGCAACTGTAATAAATGAAGCTTTGCAGCCACTTCCAGTTCTGTAATTTTGTAGCTAGAGTCCACTCAAGAATTCTTTTTTGAAGCTAGTTTTCTAAGGATACGATTTGGTATATACCAATTTTGTTTAGTTAGAGCCTTCATAAATGCACTTCTGAAAAAAAAAAACAGAAACACTTATAGCTATGATTCTGAACACTCTGTCACTTGAGATAGTATTTTAAGTAGCATATAAAAAGAAGTTTTAAATATTTATAGCAGATAAAATAATCTAACTTTAGAAAAGAATAGACTTATAGTACAGTAGTTCAGATTTTAATTTCTATAGACTATTTTAATGGCCAAATATCCATGTATAAGATTGATTTTATTTTTGTAGTAAAGGAATCCTCTGATTTCCAGTTTATCATTAAGATATCCACATTCTATAAGAATCACACATTCAATTGTCTTTTCCCTCACTGGACTATGAGATCTATGATGGCATGGGCTAACAAAGCATGTGGAGACTGATCTCTGAAACATTTGACTCTCGATCCCCTTGTAGCCTTCCCAGATTCCACCTACTCCTCCCCTTGACCAATACTGCAGGTTTTCTTATAAATGGATCCAAATTATACCTAAATAATTTATTGGAATTATATAATTTGAGAATGTGGAGGAATGAAGGGTAAATAACCTTACTTACCTGAGCAAGCTTACGCTTTTCTGAGTTTCCTCCCTTTTCATTGTGTAATTTGTAAACTGGTGTATATTGTACAGAACTAGAACAGGTTCCATAATCTTCATCATTTTCCTACATATGGAAAAATATACCAGCAATAATTGTAAAGCACTCCTTTTATTACTAACGTCTTAGATTAATAAACAAAGTATCTGATACACATACAAGTAGCAAAATAACACTTCAGCTTTAAGTGTAAAAAATCTAAGAAAATGCATTTTTCTATAATCAAAATTAATAAATTTAATTTAATAAGGTTAATGATCAATGATCTTAATTATATTAGAAATTTAATTTAATAAAAATAATTTAAAATCTTGGATTACTTTGAATAATCTGAATAAAATTTATATAAAGATAATTTTTTATCACTACACTGGAAGTTTTAAGTAGTATGTTTTCTCCAAAGGTAAAAATTCAAAACATAACAACTGATAATAAAATCTGCAAAGATATAAATTAAAATCAACACACATATATACATATTTACATATCTGCAATATTCATAGCTTAAATACATACATAATCTTTTGTAAATTAAGAACATTCTTCATTTTAAAGTAATACTATTGGAATGAGACTATCAAAACAAATGATGGCATTTCTGGATTACTTCTACACAAAAGATATCTTTAAAAAAAATCTTAGCATAAAGCAAGAACTTCAATTGTGATATCAAGGCAATTAACTTTATGAAAACATACATCCTTTTAAAGCATCTTTGAAGATTTCCATAGTTCTGTGATAAAATATGCAAACAGTAAAGAGATTATTCAGTGAATGCATACAGAATAGCAGATAGTTGCCAGAGGGCTTGTTATAAAAAAACATTCTTGAACAAAGGGCTAAGCATATTTCAAAAGTCATTAAAAACATAAATTTCTAATGTAAAGTATAAACTTCAAATTAATACAAGAATCAAGGTAAAAAGGAAAAAAAATGAATATGACATACCTTGTGTTTTAGTTTACTCTTCACTTCCTTTAGTCCCAGCTTTGCATGATTTTTTGCCTAGAAAAAGATAATAAATGTGCCTGCCTCAGGATAGTTCCATTACCATTTAAAGAATAAGTATACAAGACCACATCTAATGACAATTACTAACTATTCATATGATTTAGAAAAAGAATAGATTATAATCTAACACTCTATTTTCAGGGATACATATTATCACTTACTATTTTATTACACCTAAATCAGTTGGTAAAACCATTAGTCTCTTCTTTGTATACAAGTATCATATGAAGGCTAACATTTAGCCTATGTTGTTTCCTAAACTATTAAGAACACAAAAGGAATAAACCAGATTACTAATGTTAAAACTGTAACAAACTGGAGGAACAGAGAAAGTACATCCCAGCAGCAAGTTATTTGGGCAGATGTTTAACTTGAAGAAACTCTGGCAATTTTACAAAGCTTTATTAAGCGCTTTTACAGGTAGACACATAATTTTATTAGCAGAGCCATCTTAATGGAATGGTATTTTATATATAGTTTTTCTGATAAAAATTAAAAGTCATTTAACAATTTAAAGCTATACTCATGTTTCACAGGGAATCTGGCCACAGCATTTGAGTTTCTCACATCCTGCTGTGATTCCTGTGGGGTATAACTTAACTAAAGACAACTGGGGGCTTTCATGAAAGCCCTAGCCTTTGTTCCACTAGAAATTCCTACTCACAGTGGCCAAGGTGAAAAAGAAGAGAAAAGGAATTCATATTTATTTTGTTTCCTAAATATATGACTGTGTGCTTAGCATGCATTATCTTAGGTAGTTATCACAACAATTCTGTAAGATTAGTACTACTATAATCACATTTTAAAACAAGGAGAGTGACTCAGGGAGACTGTAATCTAGCTAACTATCCTCTAATCCACTTGATCACACTAATCTTTTCAGATGCTCTTTAGTATACAGAGTTGAAGCTACTTGAAGCTACTAGTGTCAGTCTTTTCCATGGTTCTATAATTCCATAGTGCACTGATTCATTTAAATAATTGTTGTCCTATGTCCTTCTCTGACTTCCTTCAGATTACCTGAAGATGGGATATAGGTTCTCTCTATCCTTTTCAACTTACCAGTTTGAAGCTTAACAAAATGCATGTATTCTCCAGAGAAATGCTCCAAGCAAATGGCTTTGGTAATAATTTAAAATTGAGACCTAACAAGAAAGATGACTTTGAAAACCGCTTAGCCAAATAAAATATGAATTACACTTTGCTGTTATTCTTAAATTTATACAAGTGTGTATGATAACTCTAGTTTTCTTTATGACCCCTATCAGCATAGAAAAACATATGCATTGAAAGCACAGGAAAAAATTGTAACCATAAAAATAAGTATAAAAATGTTGTAAGAACAAGACGGAATCATTATTCGCTTTGACAAACACATATTCAGTATTTCTGTAGTATGTTCAAAGTGCAGAGCAAAGTGATAGGAAAACAAATATAAAAGTAGGGACAGTATCTCTTACTGTACCTTCATGCTCTGCTATAACTCCAATGATGAGTATAAAGTCTAGTTCATGATAGGCACTCAATTTGTGAATAAATGAGATAGAGGTAAAAACATGATTCCTACTTTTGAAAAATTTACTACCTATAGAAAACCAAGGTAAGTAAATTCCGTTATACCACACAACAGAAATTGGGAGTTTTATTCATAGCAATTTGTGGTAAAAGAAGGAATTTCAGAGTACAGATATCAGAAAATAAGCAGTCTGGAAAGATCAGTTTTAGAGACAACTACAAAGGTCACAAAATGACTGACTTACCTGCCCCAAACTTCTGGATTCAGGGATGATATGATCACAAGATAAATGATAAAAGTGATTAGGTATATTCTAAAGACCTTAATTCACCTGAAATTAATTAATTTAGGGACTAATTCTCCAGAGTAGAATTTTTTTTTTTTTTCCTGAGACAGAGTCTCACTTTGTGGCCCAGGCTGGAGTGCAGTGGCGCAATCTTGCTTCACTGCAACCTCCACCTCCCAGGCTCCAACAATTCTCCTGCCTCAGCGTCTCAAGTAGCTGGGACCACAAGCACACGCCACCACACCTGGATAATTTTTGTATTTTCAACAGATAGGTGGTTTCATCATGTTGGCCAGGCTGGTCTCAAACTCCTGACCTCAAGCGATCCACCGGCCTTGGTCTCCCGGTGCTGGGATTACAGGCGTGAGTCACAGTACCCGACCCAAAGAACAGAATTTTTAATTTGAAAAGATTTTACTTCCTCACAGAGAAGAGTTCAAAATAAAATACTCCACTGATTAGAAGGATAAATTTTAAAATAATGAATAGGGTTTTAAATATGTTTGCTTCATTGCTGTGCTTTTGTGAAAAATATGAGGGAAATTAAGGCAAGACACATATTTGGCAAAACAATACAACTTCTCTAAGACTAAAAATAAAAAACCCTCAACTGCCTGCTCCAGAAGAAAATGAAGGGCTATTGACTGTGAAACTATTTTTAGAATCTTAAATGAATATGAGAAACAAGGATCAACATTATTTTGCTTTTTCACATGGTAGTTGTGTGCTATTTCAGTGTGAAAAAAAAATCTCTTCAAAAACTGCACTTAAACCACCAGAGGGGTTTCCTAGGAAAGCCATAGAACAACGAAACAAAATGCAGAGGCTGAAGTTTCTAAGGCAAAATGATAATCTTGTCTTACTTTGGCTTTATGGTTAGGGTTCAAATAACTATAATTTTGGGACTGTATTTTTTAATCAATTCTATAGATTAGCTTCCCTACTATAAAATTTAATATTTGAATGGAATTTTTAAACAGAAAGGGTGGCCACATTCATATCACAATTTTCAGTCAAGGAATAGCAGAAGTTCTAAACTTTTATTAAAATATACTATTTTGGCCGGGCGCGGTGGCTCAAGCCTGTAATCCCAGCACTTTGGGAGGCCGAGACGGGTGGATCACGAGGTCAGGAGATCGAGACCATCCTGGCTAACCCGGTGAAACCCCGTCTCTACTAAAAAATACAAAAAACTAACCGGGCGAGGTGGCAGGCGCCTGTAGTCCCAGCTACTCGGGAGGCTGAGGCAGGAGAATGGCGTAAACCCGGGAGGCGGAGCTTGCAGTGAGCAACCCGGAGGCGGAGCTTGCAGTGAGCTGAGATCCGGCCACTGCACTCCAGCCTGGGTGACAGAGCGAGACTGTCTCAAAAAATAAATAAATAAATAAATAAAATAAAATAAAATAAAATATACTATTTTATTATTAATTCAACCACATCAATTCATTTACTGAGGAAAGCTTGTGAAGACAAATTCTTACAAAATCAAAACTATTGCCTTAAATATTTTTAGAAATATAAAATATATGACCTATTGAATTTTTAAAAATTTATTGAAGACAACCCACTAGCTTCCCTCCTGAGAAGTTACTAGACTAGTATTAAGACAGAAATGTACATAGATAAAACAAGTGTGGAAACAGAAGGTCCTACAGATACAAAAATACATATATAAACATTTTTGTGTAGGGTTGAGAAGACAAAAATATGTGTATAAACTTTTTTGTGTCGGGTTCAGAAAAATTTTTTCAGGGGAAATAATGTCTGAACTAAGTCCCAGCTACTCGGAGGCTGAGGCCAGAGAATGGCGTAAACCCGGGAGGCGGAGCTTGCAGTGAGCTGAGATCTGGCCACTGCACTCCAGCCTGGGTGACACAGCGAGACTCCGTCTCAAAAAAAAAAAAAAAAAAAAAAAAAAAAAAAAAAAAAAAAAATGAACTGGTGTTTTCTAGGTGGATAAAGGCCAAGAAACTGACATTCCAATTAATAGGAATGGCTTGACCAAGAATCAAAGGGCAGAGGAGAATATCTTATATTGATGAAACAAAGAGTAGCTAAGTATCTTCAGAGATATAGAAGGTTCTGAGGTGTAGGGGGAAAAGGAACTAGACATGAAGGGTTGGGTTTTGAAGGGTCTTAATTGTCATATTAAAGAGTTTTTTTACTTTATCATTTATTGTTTACTTTATTATTCTTACTATTATTTCCGGTTTTTTTCCTATAAGTCTTAGAGCAGGGGTGTCCAATCTTTTGGCTTTCTTGAGCCATATTAGAGGAAGAAGAATTGTCTTGGACCACACATAAAATACACTAACATTAACAAAAGCTGATAAGCTTAAAAAAAAAAAAAAAAGAAGAAGGAGAAGGAGAAGGAGAAGAAGGAGGAGGAGGAGGAGAAGAAGAAGGAGGAGGAGGAGGAGGAGAAGGAGAAGAAGGAGAAGAAGGAGGAGAAGAAGAAGAAGGAGAAGAAGGAGAAGAAGGAGAAGATTACAAGAAAAATCTCATAATGTTTTAAGAAAGTTTAAGAATTTCTGTTGGGGCTGGGTGCAGTGGCTCACACCTGTAATCCCAGCACTTTGAGAGGTGGAGGTGGGCAGATCACTTGAGGTCAGGAGTTTGAGACCAGCCTGGCCAACATGATGAAACCCCATTTCTACTAGGAATACAAAAATTAGCCAGGTGTGGTGATGGGTGCCTGTAATTCTAGCTACTTGGGAGGCTGAGGCAGGAGAATCGTGTGAACCTGGAGGAGGTTACAGTGAGCAGAGATCATGCCACTGCACTCTACCCTGGGTGACAGAGTGAGAATTTGTCTCAAAAAAACAAAAAAAAGGAATTTGTATTGGGCCACATTCAAAGCTATCCTAGGTCGCACGTAGACCACAGGTCATGGGTTGGACAAGCTTGCCTTAGAGACTCACTGAAGAATGTTAATAGACGGTAAATGCATCTTTGAGGGAAAAGACCTTGCTACATTTTTCTTTTTTTTTCCTACTTGAGCCACAAGTACATAGCAAGAATGTAAAATGTTGTTAAATGAAATAATGACATTTTATAAAATGGCACCCCATCATGAACTGTTTCAATTTGCTGTACAACTTTGCTGATAGCTTTGAAATAAAATGAGAACTATTTTTAGATTATATAAAAGAAACTACCCTCTGCATGCAATGTTATAATTTTAACAATTGAATTTTCTTTGGTCAATATTAATCCTAAAATTTTTAGGTTTATTTAAAAGAAAAATAGAAAATATTCAGAATTTACATGTCTATCATCTAGGAAAATGTTATATAATTTCATAAATAGGATTTTTAAATATCAAAAAACTTACAAATTTATATGCTGTCCGTACAGCAGGGGTTGCTTTGGTCATTGCTGTGTTGAATAGTGCACCTCCTTTCTGCAAAAGAAAAATGGAAACATATTTCCAAAAATGTTTGGCCTAAATGTCCTGAAAACAAAGTATTAGAGTAAGTTGCATAAAAAAAGAGCTTTACTCACAACTTAAAGACATACACAAATTATTTCATGTTCAGTGTTTTCAAGTTTCTATGTACTATAATAATTTCAAACAAAATGTACACTTTCCACTTTATTCTTTAGTTGATATAATACATCACTTAAAAATCATTTCTTCCTTGAAGGTTAGGTAGACTTGAGCAATATGACTAGTAATTTGAATATATTTAAAGCTTAATAAGAAAGAAATACAAGTTTATCAGCTGTTTTAATATTGGGCAAATAAAGTCTCTGTCTGAGAAGTTTCATATTTAAAAATCGTATTAACAAAACTACATTACCACAAATTATAAAATTGCCATCAAATCCCACTAACCCACCTAATTTCTTCTTCTGGAAAATAATATAAGAAAAACAAGATTTGGCAGGAAAATCTTGCTTTTCAAAATGAGCCATTTATCATTGGACCAAAACTTTCCATTTAAAAATTATCTTAATGAGTATCAACAAACTATAAACATAAAATAAGAATATTTAAAATATGACAAAATATACAAACATTTCAAATATTTCAAATAAACAGCATAAGTATAAACAGCATACTTTTGCTGAACATTTCTCCATTTATATTAGAGTAAAAGAATAACATTTGAAAGCTTATGATTACCTTGACTGTATGAACCCATTGTTGATATGACCTCGGGTTCCCTGGAATATATAAAAATGAGATGCCAGGAATGGTTGATCAAAAATAAATCGTAAACCAAAATTTATCAAGAACTACTATTTGTACAATTTTTAGTAGGCAAATTTTATATGCACTGTTGTAAAAGAAGCAATAAAAGCAATGGCATCATAAGAACTAATAAATTGTCCTAATTCTTAGGAATAGAGTAATTAGCAATTTTAGGAATAACAGAGAATCACTTTTTCTTCATCCATATCTGAAACCTAACAGTGTTCAATCTTCTTTCACTTTAATATTAGCCTCAGAGGAGAAAATATAACCAACCTCTCTTTTGAAATCCAAATTTCTTATGTTTTTCAAACTGACTTTTCAATGTTTAATATCTATGTTGTTTTGTAAACTTTGCCTCCTTTACATAATTAGGTTTATTTTAAAATAATATTTCATGTACATAGAGAACTTTAAAAAAACTAGAAGAAAATTTAGAAGTGCAAAAAACTTTGGCAACAAAAAAACATTCTTCTACAACTGCTAAATATTAACAGATTAGTAGCTAACTTTATTTTAATGTAAGCTTGCAGTTTTAGTTTTGAAAATATCCTCTAGTTGTAAATCTGTTAAGTTAGAAAACTATTACCCAAGGAAGTGTGAAGCAAATGCAGCTTTTACGTTATAGGTTGTCGTGATTATGAAAAAGCTCAAGCGCTAAAAAAGTAGTTCTAATAATATCTGGCGATCAACATATCTGGTTCCAAATTGATAAATACTTTAGTCAATAAGATGATATCAGAAGTTAAAAAAAGAAATACATATACAACTTATCTAATCTTTCCCATAAACTGATCTCAGTTAGATTTCATCTACCTTCTTGTTTAAAAACTTAAATACTCCCTAAGTCACAGGGGTAAAAAGTCACAATAAAGAAACAAAATCCCAGGTCTGTTGTAGCGGCTCCCACCTATAGTGCCAGCTACTTGAAAGGCTGTGGCCGGGGCACTGTTTGAGCCCAGGAGTTCAAGGTTGCAGTGTGTTAAGATTATGCCATTCTTTTTTTTTTTTTTTTTTAAGTCCCAGTGGCTACTCAGACACTATCCAGTACAAAGAACCCCTAAAACATACTGTTCTCCTCTACTTCGTGGCTGTGGATTTTAAAAGATGTATCACCTTGCTCTTACAAAATAGAGACAAAATGATCTCAGTCCCAAAATTTCTTTCTAGCTGTTATCTTTGCATCTCTGATCAACATCAGGCAAGAAGTATCCAGCTCTGGATTCACTTCTATATTTAAAATCTTACTCTAATTTAAAAGAAATCTCAAAAAACAATTTTTATTCTGAAAAACATCTCTGACTACTCAGAACACAGCACTGCACCTTTTCTGGGGATGAAATATGACGCAAACTTTTTTTTTCACATTATTTAACTTGTGAAATAACTACAGCAAAATGTAACTACCTAAAATAACCTTTGTAAAAATAAGCTGTACTGTTTAAAAGGTATGAGTTTCAGGTGATATTTGGTTTGACCAAACTTTTAAAAGTATATTTCCCTTGTAAAATAGTAAAACATTCCAAGTTATCCTACCAACTTATTTCTCAGAGATGTTTTTAAACAACAAAATAAACCACAGATCTTTACTCATCCAGATTATTCATATATGTTTATTTCTGTATTTAAAGAGCTCTCATCAGTTCATATACTTATTACTTCTCTACTAAAAATGGTTGAGTGGAAATCATATATTTAAGACTTTGTTATTCATCACAGCATTCTGGAAAGTGTTTTAATTGTTTTCCCAAAATGAATGTAAGAAAGTGGAGGAAGAAACACCAGTTTAGCATTCTGTAACCTTTGTCAATTCAGAAAACAATTTTTTAAAACCTCTGAACCACAAAGAAACTAGCTATCATAAAAGTTTCAAACCATTGTAGAAAGGTTAGGGTCTTATTTAGAACTATGAGGAATAAAAAAGCTAATTTTCAGCTCTGTACAAGTCATCACATGTTTTTATCTACATTATTTGAACTGTATTTTTCTACTGTAGAATAGGCAAACAGTGCCATAAGCAGTCAGTTCAATGAGAAGGAAGTGGGCCTTGAAGTCCAATGGACCTTTGGAGCTCAGGCCTACTCTATCCTTGTGAAGGATGTGATTTAGGATAAGGTCGTTAACTTGGCTGAGCATCAGCTTCTTCATTCATCAAATAAGCATAATAGTCATTGCCCTTCAGGATTATTGTGAGGATGAAAGATAATGAATAAACTTTGGTATGGTACATAGTATATTGAAGAAATATCATAAATGATCATTATTACTATAAATAATTTGCCAAAACAGAAAACTGGGGTTCTATGATGACATATTATTCACTCATGTTCTCAAGGCTAGCAACTGAAAAAGAATAATAACCTAGGATTTTAATTCCCGGTTCATTATTCCTTCAACTCTGAAAAACTACGTCTAAGACTGCTATGTAAAATATGATTAAAACTTAAGTTATATAGAGTTTCCTCTATATCACACCCAAGGCAATTATATTTGAAAGGGAAAGGTACTGCTCAAGGCTAATACCCTGAAAAAGAAGGTTAATAGAATTACCAGTAATAATCTAAAATTTCATAATATAGGGGCAAGGAAGTCCCTTGGTTTGATGTTAAGAAAACATGGTACAATTTAGGCAGATTCCTATTTTAAAAGTTTTAAGGGCTAATTGTGCCTTTAAATTTCACTGTTTTTATGATTTAAGGTTCCTATTTCCACAATATTTATGAGAAAAGCACATTATTCTTTAGTAGTATTAGAAAAAAAGCTGTTGTTCTTCTAAAAATTAATTTGAATGTTGAAGAAATCCCTCAGAATCCTTCTTTTAAAATAACTGGATCATGGCAATAATACGCATTACTGAGGAAATCCTTAACATTATTTTTGTTAATAAAACAAGTGATTTTCTCACACTCAAGGACAAAATATCTATTTCTCACTTATGCCAAGACTTTCTCTTCAAATGTACTTGCTTAAATTTCAGTAATTTGTGCTTATTTATCTCAAAATATAAATTGGTCTAAATTGTTCAACAAGGCCGGAAAAATGCCATTAAAACTGATATTACCTACCACTTCCTTCAAATCCCTTTGATACCTTAGTCAGTAAAACTAAATAAGAACGGAAAAATAAATAAAATAACAAATAAAAGACTCATCAGATTATATGTGTAAACTAAGGAAGAAACACATGCTAGTGATAGAGAGTAACTATACACTCCTCATAAAAAGAATCTGAAAACATTTCTCCTTTTTAAAGTTAACTTGGTGTAAATTTAAAAACTAGTTTTCTTTTAAATGAAAAAAATATTTAAAGAAAGAATATGTGCTTAACTACTCAATATTCTTTACCTGCTTTTTCACAGACCAATACTATGTTTACTTAAATGCATCCTTTGTTCTACTCCTGTCCTGTTTTATTATCTTTTAAACTCCATGATTATTCTTCCCATTACACATTCCTTTTAAGTTAAAATTTTCCTTTTTAGTTAAGGTCGAAGATGTTACAAGGGTCTCATGAAGGAATAAGGTGTGACATGGATTTCCTTAATAGTCCTGCTGAGGGCTCACAAGTCAGAGGCAGGTTTTAAAAACATGCATGCATTCACAGATTCTGTAACCATACACTTCTAGATTCAAATGTGAATCTAGATGTTCCTTATCTGATCGTCCTGCACTGTATATTTTTAATCAGAGCCACAATAATGATAAAGCTCCATCATATTCATATTCATTTTATCATAACCATCAGCATTAACAAAAATAGTGTATAAACTACTATTGCAATGATAAAGAGGAGAAAATACATGTTTCTCTGAAATTTCCTAATTATTTTTACTTAAAGGAACATAAGTTTTTCTTAGTTTTAGTTAATGCTAATTTCTGCCACAGTGGTCTTTCTAGGACTTTATGTATAAAAAATCTACAAGAAATTCAAAAGAGATGAGAATTTTGCTTTGATTCAATCAGAGTAGGAAAGGGTTAAGTATTACTCTTGTTTACTGAATGTTTTTGCATTAAGAAAATCTATTATAAAAAACAGGATATCTTTGAAGTCACATAGACACATGTGGAATTGAGAGACTGGCCACTACTGGCTGTGTGACCTTGAGTGAATTATTGAGCTGAATACTCAATAAAAATGAGGTAATGAAAGTATCTCCTTGGGTGTTGTGAGGATTAAATGAGATAATATTTGTAGAGCTCTTGGGAGAGTTTCTACCACATATTAGTGCTCAATAAATATAAGCAATTATTATATTACTATTATCAGGAGAGAAACAACAATGTTACATCAGTTTACTTCTTTGAAGCATAGGTTGATTTCATGACATCAACATATTCTTCTTTCTCACAAGGGCAGTGTGAATGACAAATGTTTGGAACGGACCTCTAGGAACATTTTGTAAAGACACACACACACACACACACACACACACACACACCCCTAGCTAGATGGATATCTTCTAATTAATAGTTAGAACACTGCTAATTTTTATTATATTAGTCATCTTTTTATTTCAAATTCTAACACATTTGAGTTTATTTTCATCTACAAAAAAAGTCTATGTATCTATAACATAACATAGAATAATTTAAAAATAATGCTTGACAGGCACAAATTTCTAAGGAACTTTCTTGCTGTACTCACTGGAATTAATATTTGTCAAATTAGGCTTCCTTTTAGATAAGTACTGGCTCTCTCAAATTAAAATAAGAGTTCAAAACCTTTTCATTTTAATAAAGAACAACAAAGTAGTGGGCATTAAGTTGTATTGAAAACGTAGCAGTTTCTAAGTCAGATACTAATTGGTAATCATATTCTCCTAACCTTTTTTAAACAATAAGGCTTTTCGTGAAAAATTTTAGTAGGCCCTCCCACCAGAAAAGTCACCTATCTCTACTCTATTACAGAGGTACTTGGACCAATGGTTACGATTACAGAATTTAACTGTACAAAAGGATCATAGTTCTAGCCTCTTATTGTCACAAAATGTCATCTTCAATTCTATAAAAGCTACTAGCCCCACGGGTCATAAAGATAATGAGACAGCAGTTATGTAAATATTGAAGAGATGCCTCAAGCAACTTGTCCATGAGCTGACAATATTTTGCTTGTCTGAATTGAGAAGTAAAAAAGTCTTATTTTAACACAAAAGTTCCATTGAAGCTAAATTTTTACCCATGAACTGAGGGAAGCAAGGAGCTGAATGATTCCACATTCAGATCCCTTGCTGAGTCAAGCAAACTAACTTTTCCCCAAGCTAAATGCTTTCAATGAAATTCTATACTTATATCAGATAAAGTTCCACAACTACTGAGTTCATTTGTACTTCCTTTAATGAACCAATTATCTCAATGGTTTCTATATTTTCATGATGGGAAAATGAATCTTAAAAATAACGTTAAATTTTGTGGAATGTGTAGAGGAGTACCTATTACGTTTTGTCTTTTCATGTTTCATTTCTCAATTCCAGCATCTATTTATTTACACATAGACTGAAATTTTTTTCCTCAAAACAAACATACAAAGAAGTTTTAAAAATTGCTATTATACCAGGTCAAAAATTAACGCACTAAGACATAGAATACAGGGATTTTTGTTTACTTAGTACACCTAATATTTAGAACAGTACCTAATACATTGTAAGCACTCAGCAAATACTCAGTGAATGAACAGGTCATTTCAAGGACTCAAGCAAAATGCTCTGCAAGTCAAGACTATACACCACAGCAATCGTGCAAAAATATCAGTTTGTAAATTATTAATTGCCTAGATAATTATAACATTATTTGAACATTTACACTAGAAGGATTAATTGTATTTATGGAATGGTAAACTGGAAACTTCCCTAATGCTGCAGTGATCTATAAAGTAAAAAAGGTAAAGATATCTAGATAATAATACAGTTACTTAAATATGTAGAAAGAATTTTGGTGTTCAGACCTTTCTTTTTGGATTGCATTACCAATCGTAACTTCAGTTCTTAAATTTATACTCAGTAATAACCATCACTAGTAGTTTTCTAGCAGAGAATACTACTATTCGGAAGGAAAGACAGGAAGATACGAGTTGACCGGATTTCTGTATTACTGATTTCCATCAATATTAAGAGATTATCCAGGCCAACAGCTACCAATTCATGAGGCCAACTTAATGCCTTGAGTAACAGATATCAGGCAAAATAAGCTAATACCATATCTTTTATAAGATGAAAAAAATATATTTAAGACATTCCATATTTAGAAGAAAAGAGTTGTTCATGAAATAGGTTTTATCAGACACAAGTGCAAAGACTGAGATAACTGTTATTGAGAAAATGGATAATCATATTGTAACTTGTCTTTACCTCCACAAAAGCCACCTGAAGTGATCTCTTCTTCAAATACATCAGAGAAACCCCTTCCTGCATTTAGTTTTGCCAGTCGACCATCGATAAACTAAAATTAAAAAGTATCAAATAAAATGTTATCCAATAAAATGTTAATTTTACATTTATTTTATAAGGTTAGATTTTTACTTACATCAAAAACACTAATAACAGACTCTTGTATAAATTACACATATATGGTGTATATATACACACACACGAAAATTCTCAAACAATGGAAAGAACAGGTGCTCAATAAACAGTTGCTAATTAATTAAATCACAAATGTACAGCAAAGACTCTAAATCTAACTTATTAGCAAAAAATAGCAAAGTGCAGTAGTAAAGGTCATAGGCTCTGGAAAGGTTGCTCAATGCACAATCTCTGCAGAGGGGTTTGTACAAAGGTACTATTGCCTTGCCAAGCCATTTACTCAAGGGGCTCTGTCTTCCCCAGCCAGGCCTGTTTTCCCAGTACCTGCCTCATGGTGTTGCTGCAAACAACAAATTAGATTAACCTAAGAAATGTGACACAGCAAGTATCTGTGAGATACTAGACATTACCTTTTTTTCAGCTTATTAACTTCATTCAGTAAAACACTACTTGTCTAAACTATTATATTCTAACGCATAATAGAGCACCAAATAATTTTAACCATCTACAATAAAATCAATACAACTTTCATAGTTCCTGGCATACGTGATCACTGAATGATAAGAATTATGATTAGTAAGTTAAATACTGTTGAGGTAAATGCATATTGACTTGATATGCATGAGGTTATTTTAGGCGATATTTTTCAGTGTTCTTAAAAAAGAGGTTGGAAGAGTGGGAAACTGAAACTATCAAAAGCACATGAAGATCATTTTCAAAGTGCAGAAATCCAAATACCCTGGAGACTATCTTCCATTGCCTGTCCTGCTCCAATCCTTACCTGTTCCAACATACACAGCATATCAGAATCTCACGGTATTAATGCTGCATTTGAAAAGTATCCTGGGTATTTTTATATGACCAGCCCAAGGTGAAAATCAATGATTCTACATACACACACACACACACACACACACACGCACACACACACGTATTACTAGCACTTGGTTACCTTTTATTTTGTTGATTTGTGGCACCTAGAATTTGATACGTTGTAGTTTACTCCATCCATAATGATGATGAAGTATCTTTAAGTCTTCCTTGCTTAAGAGGCAGGTGATAACATAGGAAAGATTTACATGCTTTTTGCAAGGACTTGAAGATAGATTAAAATGTTCAGTTGCATCCAAAAACTAACTAATCCTGACCATAATTTTTTACCCTAGAAATTTAAATTTTACCTGAACTAAAATAAAGTAGTTGGTCTTAAAAAAAAAAAAAGAAAAAAAAAAAAAACTCAGATACTTCCCTGGTTTTCTGTTTGAATGGTTAATGAACAAAACTAATTGAGATGAGTTGTACAGGACAATACAATATTCCTCAGCAGCAATTTAAGATAATTAATAGGCTTGGCATGGTGGCTCACGCCTGTAATCCCAGCACTTTGGGAGGCCGAGGCAGGCAGATCACGAGGTCAGGAGATCCATACCATCCTGGCTAACATGGTGAAACTCCATCTCTGCTAAAAATACAAAAAATTAGCCAGGCGTGGTGGCAGGCGCCTGTAGTCCCAGCTACTGGGGAGGTTGAGGCAGGAGAATGGTGTGAATCCGGGAGGTGGAGCTTTCAGTGAGCCAAGATTGTGCCACTGCACTCCAGCCTGGGCGACCGAGCAAGACTCCATATATATATAAAAGCTGGGCATGGTGGCGCATGCCTGTAGTCCCAACTACTCAGGAGGCTGAGGCAGAAGAATCGCTTGAACCTGGGAGGTGGAGGTTGCAGTGAGCCGAGATTGCACCACTGCATTCCAGCCTGGCAAGAGAGCAAGACTCCGTCTCAAACAAACAAACAAAAAAATGTGTTGGGGGGGAGGAAGATAATAGCAGTAAGTCACACCAGTTATAAGACTTTGATACAAAAATCTCTTACAGGAAAAGTGAAGAAAGAATAGAAAATGAATCAACAGATTCACGTTCAAAATGTGGTTTACGCAGACCAAGGGAACAGAATAGAGACCCCTGAAATAAAGCTGCACACCTACAACCAACTGATCTTTAACAAAATTGACAAAAATAAATAATGGGGAAAGACACCCTATTCAATATATGTGCCAGGAAAACTGGCTAACATATGCAGAAGAATGAAACTGGAGTCCTACATTTCAAGATATAAAAAAATTAACTCAAGGTGAATTAAAGCCTTAAATGTAAGACCTCAAATTAAAAACCTTTCTTCCTAGAAGAAAACCTAGGAAATACCCTTTCAGACACTGGCCTGGGCAAATAACTTACAACTAAGTTTTCAAAAGTAAATGTAACAAAACCAAAAATTGACAATTGGGGCCCAATTAAACTAAAGAGCTTCTTCACAGCAAAAGAAACTATCAATGGAGTAAACAGACAACCTACAGAATGGGAGAAAATACTGGCAAACTATGCATACAACAAAGGACTAATATCCAGAATCTATAATAAACTTAAACCAACAAGAAAAAAACAAGTAACTCCATTAAAAATTGGGCAAAGGACATGAACAGACACTTCTCAAAAGAAGATATAAGTGGCCAAGAAACATATGAAAGAATGCTCAACATCACTAATCATCAGAGAGATGCAAATCAAAACCACAGTGAGATACCACCTCACACCAGTCAGAATGACTATGATTAAAAAGTCAAAAAGTAACAGATGTTAACAAGTTTATGGAGAAAGGGAACACTTATGCACTGTCTGTGAGAGTGCAAATTAGTTCAGGCCCTGTGAAAAGCAGCTTGGAAATTTCTCAAAGAACTAAAAATAGAATTACCATTCGATCCAGCAATCCCCTTATTGGGTATATAGCCAAAGGAAAATAAATCATTCCACCAAAAAGACACCTGCATTTGTATGTTTATCCCAGCGCTATTCACATAGCAAAGACAAGGATTCAACCCAGCTGCCTTTTAACAGCAAACTGGATAAAGAAAATGTGGTACATATACACCATGGAATACTTTGCAGCCATAAAAAAGAATGAAATCATGTCATTTGCAACCAATAAATGATGCTGGAGGCCATTTATCTTAAGCAAATTCATGCAGAAATAAAACCAAATACTGCAAGTTTTCACTTAAAAGTGGGAAGTAAACATTGGGTATACATGGACACAAAGATGGGAACTATAAACACTGGAGAGTCCAAATGGTGGGGAAAGGTGGGAGTGGGGCAGAGGTTGAAAAACTACCTACTGGGTACTATGTTCATTATCTGGGATATGGGATTATTAGAAGCCCAAACCTCAGCATCATGAAACATACCCATGTACCACGCCTACACATGTACCTCTGAATCTAAAATAATGAATGAATGAAAACAACTATTAATGGGAAAATGTGCTTTCATCATCCTTTTATCATCATCTAATGCTTCTTAGTGAAACTGTGGTACGATAGGTTTAAATAAACATAGCCTAAAATAATGGAATCTTAGATTTTTTTAGAACATGAGTTGTTCTCACAAAACTTAGAACTATTTGAGGACAGGGACCATATATTACCCATTTTCACATCTTCATTATGCTTGGCATACAAAAGGTTTCCTATAGTATAAATTGACATGGAGTGTGGAGTATAAAAGGCCTGCATCACAACTCGGCCACTTGCTAGTTTTATGATCGTGGGCCACTTGTCACCTCTAAGAATATTTCTCCTTCTGTAAAATGGGAGTAATAAAAATACCTTATGGGGTATTACAAGAGCTAATTAAAATATTATGAAGTGTCTGCATTGTGTACACCAAATAAATGCTAAATAATAAAGTCCACTTCCCCCAGTACCATCACCTTTTCTATCTCTGTCAAATTTTTATGAGCTTCCCGAGGGAAGATCAGTCTTTCTTGTGTATGCATCTTCAATACCTGGCAAAATACCTGCCATAAAGTTTGAACTGAGATGTTGTGGAAATACTGAAGTACACTTTAACAATGCTGAAGTTCATATACTTTTACCTGATTTTAAAGTTAAATAATTATAATGCATAGAACTAATTCATTTCATTCTATCTTGAGATCAAAGCTAGGAACTTAAAATGTTGGCATCTTTGCTATATATAATGGTAATTTTTAAATAAGGTGGTTTAAAATGCACACAAAATTTGACTTGCACACATTTGTAACACAGTATTATAAATCAAAGTGATCTAATTTGATGGACTAGTTCTAATTTTTCTAAAAAAAATAAAGTGAAAGCAAAATGATAAAGTGAAAGTAATACATTACTGACAAATAGAACAAACTAAGACATCCTTTTAAAGGACTTAATTTGCTCTAAAAGATTAAGACTAGAAGACTTGCTAAAAGGTTTTCATTTTTATGTTTACTAGAATTAATCCATCCATTTCAGAAATAAGTGGAACAGTTCAAGCCTAAAAGCGATAAATCCCAAAACTATTTACTGATTATGCATTTTTGAGTATGAGTAACTACTTTGTCTTACTAACCTAGTGATTTGAGCCAATAGAAATTAATCACTCAGTAAAATGACACGTGTTATCACTGACTTTGCAAACAATCCTGTCAGTGGCAGACGCCAATGTACACAATGAATTAAAATGTTTGTTCTTATAACAAAAGATTGATTTCATGCATATACATACATATATTGTATATAGATGCATATAAATAGACACCCAGGAATAAACTGAAAAGTGTTATTAATGAGTAGAATGCTGAATTTAACAGTTTTTCAAACACCTTCTTCTATTTTTATTCAATAACAGCTATTGTTCCCCCAAGTGGAGTTGGTTCATGGTTATACCACTTTAGTAACTCTGGAGCATTTCATAGTAAGTAAAAGATAAGAACATTTTTAGTTACTGATGCAGATAAATAATTGTGAACTAATAAAAAATCATCTCTGTTGGAAAAGCTATGACTCTATAATGTGCTATCACATGTTGTCTGATAAACAGTTACCTATATCATTTAGTAACCTCATCT